TGAAACAGAAGCATAATGCAAATCTGAAAGCATTAAAGCCAGTCAAACTAGATACCGAGGTAAGATGCCATCATTTTAGTAAAAAAACTCCTTTCATATTTTTATCTTATCTAAAGAAAGTGTTTCTAAGTGCCATAAATATGGTTACCATTTATAGGAACAGGCGAAAATTGCAAAACTTGGATTAGAATTGCATCTGCTAACATCTGATGTGGATTCTGAGACAGAGAAATGGGAGGATCAGGAGAATGAGATTGTGCAACATGGGCAGGGCATGTCAAGTATGGCCTACTCCATGTATTTATTTACCAGGTAATTACACTGCATGTGACAAATTTTGGTCGGAAAAAGAGCATTAACAGTGTTTATAAGAAAGAACAAATTTTCTTTTTCAGGGCATAATAATTGAGACCCATTTAGAAAGGAACTTGAGTCTGTCTGTAGGCTTTATAAATTTTTGTAAATTTCTAAACTGTTTAAAAAACCCCTAGTTTTAAACCCCACTTTATTTTTAAAGGGCTTAACATCTGTTTAATTGGAGGGCATCTATTTAAATGTCTCTTGGGTATGGAAAACATTTTAAGATGTATGTTCATAAATACTTTGAAAATTAAGGGAATTAAAGCACAAGTATATACCTGTAGATGAGAATTACTGATCCTTGCACTGAAAAGTGTTTATCTGAAATCTGCCTGTGCAATGTCAGCTTTCTTACATGAAGAATTTAGGTTTGCTTGGGGTTTTTTTACCAGATTTTTTTTTTTTGTTACCTACTAGTCCAATAATACTCAGTATGCCAGAGATGTGGATTTCTGTGGAAATCTTGTTCAGTGTGGAGTCTTGTTCAGCTTATGAGAACTGAGCCATTGTTAATTCCCCGAGAGTGCTATAGCTACTGAGGTGTTTGTGTAGTATTTTTTAACTCAGTTATTGTGGGTAGTTGTGTCTAGTACCTTCTAAAGACCGATATTTACAGTTCAGTGGTGTGAACTGTAAAATGTTCAGTAGTGAGACTATAATTTTTATAAGTAGCAAGCAAAATAATCGGCAGTCTATAAATGGCATATCTTCTGCTTTTGTTATTTCTCACAGAGGAGAAGGACTTCTGAAAACTACTCAAGATTTATTTCATCAGGCAGAGGTAATGTATTTTTAACAAAATAGGATGTAGACACTCTGAGTGAAGCCAAACAGGAACTTCAGTGTCTTGATTCCATACACCTAAGTACAGTGTGCCATGAATTGACTGGCAGCTGTAGACTTTGAGCAGCCTAACTCTGATAGGTATTCTGAAAGTGATACATATTCCCAGTGTTCCAGTAGTAGCTTCAAACAGGATCATTACACTGACAGATTCCAGCTAGGAGCAAGGATAGCAAACTGGCATTATGGCAAATAGACGATTTCAGCACATCTGTAATATTTGTTGTGTCATTCAGCTCAGTCCCTGGTAGTGTTAACAGATAGTAAATCCTAGTCTGAGCAGCAGGATTTTCATGGGAAAGAAAGAAGATGTAAAAACTTGCCCAATGTAAACAGAAGGGCCCAAATGAAGGGATGTGGGATGCTATTTCCAGGATGCATACCTGTGTGTAACAGGAGACTGGTTACCTTTGAAAGGGCAATAAACAAACAGGGCAGGTGTCATCACAAAACATTTGTGAGCTGCCACGGTGCAAAAAATAATTGGAAGTTGGGGGTTTTGTTTTCTCTAAAGGGAAAGCCTTTAAACTCTGCTTATCTGTGAGGATGGCAGTTTGTAGTGTAGCTTGTTATTTCAGAAGTCACTGCAAACTGCTGACTTGTGAATTGTAGATGTATACAATTATTACAAGTATTTCCTGCTACCTTTTTACTTAAAAGCACACTATTAACCAGGAGGGAAAAAGCCTTACCTTCTGTTGTGATTTGTTCTGTTACATGCTTTCTCCTGCTTTCAGATTTTTGCCACAGAGGGCACAAAGCTTGCTTCAGCTCTTCATGCTCTTTCTGATCAGGTGATGTATCTAATGACATCAGTGACACTGCTTAGAAGTTGCTTGTGCTGTCTTCTCACTTAACTTGATGTTGGAGTCTTTAACACAGAGTTATTTTGTCTTCCTGGACAACCTACCAGGTACGTGATGATGACAAGCCTTTGCTTCTCTTGGAGGCTGAAAAACTCATCTCTATGTGCAAGCAGCTCCAGGCAACAGCTAAAGCTTCTGCTCAGGGTAAAAGTGCTACATTTACAAAGGTAAGGTAAAAAATTATATTTATTTCTCAAAGTAACACCTAACTTGTTTTGAAATAAAATAATTTACTAATTTATGCTCCTGTTAAAATATGGAACTAGGTTGCAGTAGTACTGTAATCCACCAGAATTCCATTCAGATAAACAGGAACTGTAATTAAGTGTACCTCAGTATGCACTTCAGGGATCAAAATTTTAATGACAGTAATATGTATTTGCACCACTGCAATAATTACTGTTATTACTGTTACTGATGCTTAACATAAATGTAACAAATTCCAAATCCCCAACTCCACTACTGAAACACATTTGCTTCTCAGTAGGCAGCATCTACCCTGGACAGCGCAGATTTTTTTCAGATATTAATATTTGCTATAAATATGAATTTACATAGACAGCTGCCATGAAAGTTTCAACACTGTTAACACAAGAAGTAGGTCTGCAAAAATCAGAGGGGATCACTATCCCTGAGCCAGCAGCAATCAGTGTGAGCAAGACCATCTCCATGAAGCTGGATGTTTGTTTGCAATTGGCTGTGGAAAAGGAGTTTCAGTTTTACAGCAGGGTGTGAAACTGGCTGAAGCATGCAAGCCACTCAGAACCAAACTGAGCACTACTCAGTTGGGGCTACTGCATGGTTTGTTTTACACCCTCTAAATTAAATGGGAAATTCAGTCTGTTTGTACAGTGATGTATCAGTACACAGCAGTAACAAGTTCTCAAATTAATACCTGAGGGCTCAGACTTGTGACCTGTGCTGAGTTTAAGATTTAAGACAACTTTCAATGTAACAACAAACTAAGGCTTCAATGATGCATGGCTCTCTAAATCATGCTGGCAAGAGGAAAAACATGAAGAATTGTGATGATTCATGCTTAGATCATAACAGCTCCTTTCTAAGAGACTTCTGTTACTGTTTAATATAATATTATTAGTAGTTCATTCTCTTGGGATGTGTCTGCTCAAGTTGTGCTTAACAGAAGGGATGCTCTTGTTTTACATTACTATACAGAGAAGTTTAAAAAAAAGTAGGCAAACCCATTTGATTAGGAGGTATTTTAACAGGAAAAGTATTACTTAACCCATCTCAAAACAGATCATCTCATGCGAAAAAACAACTGCCTAACACAAGTACTGAGTAATAGGTATTACTCTACTATTAATTGTCTTGTTTAGGTTGATGCATGCATTCTGAAAACAAGGAATGTGATGACCTTGTTATGTCAACTTCTTCCACTTTGCTGCAAATTACTGAGAAAGGTGAGTACTAGCATATTCTGCACTATTTAAAACTTGTGGGGGTTGTTTGCTTGGGTCGGTCGGTTGTTTTTAAGAAATCTTTTTTATATACATACACAGAATAAAGCGGGAAATGGTTGTCTTAAGCCTGCTCCACCATGGAAAGAAGACAGAATACGAACTGGTACAAATGCACGTACTCCAGAAAGAAGAGTGGAGACATTTGGCATCAAGTCTTTAGAAAATCATGTAACAAACATGACGTTTTTAGAGAGCAAGTAATCATAGCACTGAGAAATGCAGGAATTCCCATTTGAAAATAATACTTGCTGAAGTTTCAATACTGCTTTCATTTGTGGAAAGTCAAGCCAGGTTAATTTGATATAAAACTGTTGACCTTTGTCACATCTAATAGATGTCCCATTACTTAGCCATTAAAACACAAGCTAGTCTAAATGTTCTGTATTTTTATAATGTGAATGCCTTTCCTATGCTTGCTATTGATACCGATTTTGTAATTAATGCTTCTGAATGTCTTAATGGATGTGTCAACCCAAAGATGCTGCTAACAGACATTTTACATAAAGACCCCTGTGCTGCCTACACTACATGCAACACTACTGCTGAAGTCTGTAAACTCATCTCTGGCCTATTTCAGTCTATGTATTTGATAAAGCAGAATCAGGAATATAGTCTGAAAGGCTGTGGCCTGAAGCACTGAAATGATACCTTAGTTACAGGTTATACCTGCAATGAAGTAGCTATAGGGGAAAAAAAAACCCCTCTTTCAAGAGATGCACCTCTGAATTTTAATCTTGACATGATTCATCTCCACAAAAAGTGTATTTCTAAGTGATTAATAGTTCTGACTCAAACCCTTTTTCTTTTACTCTATTTGTAGATGGCAGTTGTTGCTTTCTTTTTTATTAGAACTTACTGAGCAGAACTTGAGTTGCCTGTAGAACCACTGAAGTATTATGCAGACTTGACATTATGCCATTTAAAGCTGAAGAAAATAGATACTGATTATTACAAAACTCTGTACAAAGGGCATTATTTGACTTCAGGATACCATGAAAATACAACTTGGTGTAAAATACATGTTTTCAAGTTCATCTTCTCTTTGTACAGGCTTTTGTTGCATTCTTATTTTCCATTCACCTGTGTCAAACTCCATATTGTATTAGTTTAGCTCAATTACATGACAGCTCAATGCTATGATTTTTCTATATGTACTATGCTTGCATTAAGCAGAAGCAAAGCTGATTGTGGAACATAAATAATCTCCAACATGTCATTCTGAGCTTATTTAAAAACCTGTAGTGATAGAATTCAGAGGAAAAGAAAAATTTTATGTAAAGTTTTTACAGAAATTTTAATATACAAACTATTTGAACTGGTTTATTCTTTTACGAATCAAGGAGTTTAGTTCCACTTTTAAAAAACTGGCACTGGACCTTTTCCATACTATAAAACTCACAGTGTACAATAAAAGTCACTTATTTAGTATCAAACACAGAAGGAAGTGTAGAATTGATTTCATGAAGCAGAACTGCGGCGTTTCATCAAGACTTCCTCGTACTCCTTTTGCGTCAGAAGTCCCTGAGTTATACTCTTGCTTTCTTCAAATTTGGGTAGAACCACTGCAATGTACCCCTCAGTTGATGGCTAAAAAGCAAGACTGAAGTTAGCAGTGAAATAAAAGCTGAAAAATAAAGAACAAGAAAGTGTCTTACCTTTTCTTGCAGAAGAGCAGGATTACTAAGGATGTTCTCATTCACTTCAATCAGCCGCCCTCGTATGCAACTGCAAAAGTGTTCAGATCCTGTAGATGTGTGGGGTATGTCAAGGTAAGAAAAAATGGGAAAAACCTTACCTGTAAATGGTGTATTCCTCTCCATCTGATGAAGATATCCTGCACAGAGGGGCAAGTTCTGTTAAAAACTGAGCTCCCTGCATTTGAAAAACAAATAAACATGTCTGTAGTTTTAATTACACAAGACCTGTAGAAGTATTACCATCAGCAGTGTCTAAAAGGAAGGACGTGTGATAGTTACGGGTCATTCCAAGTTCCAGAGCTGTGCTTCCCTACAGAAGGGAAGATGCCAACTTAGTTATGTGCACAAATCAAACAGAAGCTTGTTACAAGCTTACAGATTTAGTGATAATTAAGTTTCCTGCAGACTAGCAAACTTGTACTTTGATGAGACTGAAGTCAGGGGAGAGAGGAGAGGAACAGCACCATTGATTTTGGTGTAAGCAAGTTAAACTGCACCTTCAAAAACCCACCGCGCTGAACTGGCCCATCTACTATCTAGTCTCCGAATCCTTCACATCTTGGAAATAAATTTTTATTATTTCAGGGATGTTTATGTCCTCTGTACACTACCAAAAAAAATTACTGGAAGCAAGTGTGTTTGACCAACACTAGAAACCAGCAGTGCTGTAGGAGCACTGCAAGACCCTGGCTGGGCCAGGCAAACAGGCACCTCTTAAGAAAGTTTAAATTGTTCAAGTGCAGAGAGGCTGGTTTTAAGGGAAATACAAAAGTAACCTGCTGGGTTTCTCTCCAAGAAAGGATGGCAAGATCTCAGGCAGTGTGAGAGATTAAAATGAAAACTAAGGAAATCAAAAAGTCATACCCTTTTTGACTTCCCAGAGACTTTATTCTGAAGTCTGCTACAGTTTGCACTGATTTGGTAATTAATGTTTTTAATTGTTTTCCCACTTTGAAGAAGAGGGTGGGCTTCTGCCAAGGTGGAGACACAGATTCTGCAAAAAAAAAAATAAAAATAATTATTTCACTGTAGTTGTAAGAAGCCACAGCTTTGTGCTCTAAGCATGTCCCACAACCTTCTCTGCCTATCTTGTTTGACACCTGCTGTACCAAACTGAACAAAAATGGCATTCTGACCTAAAGCCACTCCCATGGAAAATGCCTCATTTTGAGATACCAGACTGGAATGTCAAAAGCCCTATACTGCTTATTGAAAGAAAACCACTGCTTTTAAATAAGCCAGTGCTGTTCTATCTGTTGTGCCCCATGAGAGCATGGTTGGTCCATTTCAGCCGGCAGCTGAAGTAGGTACTCAGGTTAAGATAAACAAGTAAAGCTCGGTGTACTTTTGTTACAAAAAAACCCACAAAGGAGTGTTTCTCAACAGCTAAAGGCCCTACGCAGTGAGGAATCCGGAGGAATCCTTTGCTGATCTGGGCCTTAGTTAACTTGCTGCTTACATTTCATTTTTGCTAATGGAGGGTTATTTCTTACCATGACACTGGACAGCTTGAGATGAGCCCAGCTGAAGAGACTAGGCCTGCCTGGCCTAGAACCATGCTTAATGCACAAGCATGAACTTGTCAGTAAACAAAGAGAGTGGAAGCTGTTCTGTCTGAGAGTATAAAACCTACAGCAAGGCACCAGAATCAACGGAAGAGTGACTGCAGAGAAAACCAGGGCACAGAACCAGATCTCTCCCTGTGGATGCTGTATCCACCTCCCCACTCTCCTCCTGGGGAGCTGTGGCTGCACAGCTCCCACAAGAGGGAGCTGGATCCTGGTGAATGCATGCAGCATGTCCTAGCAGCAAAGCTACCTCCCTTCACCCCAGCCTCCTTCTAAGGGGAAGATGATAAATTATCTTTGACTGTCACCTGATGGAGCTGAGACCTCATAAAACAAAAAATCAAGAGACAACTTCACACTGCCTAGAAACAGCAAACTGAACCACAGCCCCATATATAATAATGGTAAAATACTTTACAGAACATCTGGAATCCAAGGGTCCTGATATTTCAGAATTCAAAGGAGCAGAGCAGTCTTCATAGACAATTGAACAAATCAGTGGGATTTAAACTATTTTTTATATCAGACACCTGAGATTAGTAACCTTATATTCAGTATTCAGTACAAATGGAAGGGTGTCCTTCCTTGCTGTTATTTGAAGGTACTCTGGTTTCCCTTTTGAAAGAATAGAGGAAGAACTGCAGGACACTGCCTAGAAACAGCAAACTGAACCACAGCCCCATATATAATAATGGTAAAATACTTTACAGAACATCTGGCTAAGCTGCTGTGGAATCCAAGGGTCCTGATATTTCAGAATTCAAAGGAGCAGAGCAGTCTTCATAGACAATTGAACAAATCAGTGGGATTTAAACTATTGTTTATATCAGACACCTGAGATTAGTAACCTTATATTCAGTATTCAGTACAAATGGAAGGGTGTCCTTCCTTGCTGTTATTTGAAGGTACTCTGGTTTCCCTTTTGAAAGAATAGAGGAAGAACTGCAGGAAAAAGCCACAGAGAAGCTGCAACTCCAAAGGCTGCAGCGAGGTGATGGTTCTGCCCTGTGCCAAGCATATCCTTCCTTTTACTCTGAATTCCTAGAGCAGGCAACTCACTGGGAACACAAATTCTGCCTCACCTTCTTCCCTCAACCCATGAGCCACTGGCCCTGGGTTTTTGTGTGGACAGTAGTTGGGTTCTGTTCTTCCCTCTGGGACTGAACACCCCAGAAATGCTCCTGATGCCCTAACAGGCTGCAGCAGGGGGAGGTCAGGTATGGAAGGACACTCCACATCAGGTACAGGTTGATTGACTCCAAATAACTGGATATCCAGCTACATCCAAGCAGAAGCAAGACACTTTCCTACCTTGTCTTCATCATCTATTAGTGCACAAATGTATAGGAAAAGCAATTAGGTTTTATCTAGAAAAAGCTGAATGTTTGTTCAAACTGAATGATTTCTAAATCAAGTTAAACAGACTCCTTCAAAATGCCATTATGCAAAGGCCTTTTGGAACGTTTCTCTTCTGCTACTGATGATCACAGAATCAATTAGGTTAGAAAAGAGTTCTGAGATCGAGTCCAGCCTATGACCGAACACCACCGTGTCAACTAGAGCATGGCACTGAGCGCCACGTCCGGTCTTTCCATGAACACGCCTAGGGACGGTGTTTGGGGCCCTTTCAGCAGGAAGGGAGCGAGGGCAGCACCTCGGACACCGTGTTGGGGGCCGTCGGGGGGAAGAGGCCAAGCCTCCCTGGAGCAGAAATTAAAGGATGGGGAGGCCGATTTGTCACTCTCCCATCCTCCTATTCAGTATTCAGTACAAATGGAAGGGTGTCCTTCCTTGCTGTAACTGTCACAGCTGTTATTTGAAGGTACTGTGGTTTCCCTTTTGAAAGAACGGAGGAACAACTGCAGGAAAAAAGCCACAGAGAAGCTGCAACTCCAAAGGCTGCAATGAGGTGATGGTTCTGCCCTGTGCCAAGCATATCCTTCCTTTTACTCTGAATTCCTAGAGCACGCAACTCACTGGGAACACAAATTCTGCCTCACCTTCTTCCCTCAACCCATGAGCCACTGGCCCTGGGTTTTTGTGTGGACAGTAGTTGGGTTCTGTTCTTCCCTCTGGGACTGAACACCCCAGAAATGCTCCTGATGCCCTAACAGGCTGCAGCAGGGGGAGGTCAGGTATGGAAGGACACTCCACATCAGGTACAGGTTGATTGACTCCAAATAACTGGATATCCAGCTACATCCAAGCAGAAGCAAGACACTTTCCTACCTTGTCTTCATCATCTATTAGTGCACAAATGTATAGGAAAAGCAATTAGGTTTTATCTAGAAAAAGCTGAATGTTTGTTCAAACTGAAGGATTTCTAAATCAAGTTAAACAGACTCCTTCAAAATGCCATTATGCAAAGGCCTTTTGGAACGTTTCTCTTCTGCTACTGATGATCACAGAATCAATTAGGTTAGAAAAGAGTTCTGAGATCGAGTCCAGCCTATGACCGAACACCACCGTGTCAACTAGAGCATGGCACTGAGCGGCGCGTCCGGTCTTTCCATGAACACGCCTAGGGACGGTGTTTGGGGCCCTTTCAGCAGGAAGGGAGCGAGGGCAGCACCTCGGACACCGCTGAGCAGCACGAGGGGGTGTTGGGGGCCGTCGGGGGGAAGAGGCCAAGCCTCCCTGGAGCAGAAATTAAAGGATGGGGAGGCCGATTTGTCACTCTCCCATCCTCCCACCTTCCCGGTGCTGTGTCCCAGGCCAACCCGGCCTGTCCCGGCTGCGGCAGCGCCCTGGCCGAACGCAGCCCGGGGCCTCCCGAGCGCCGGCACCCGCGGGCAGAGGCGGACCCGGACTCCCGCCGGCCACTCGCCTGTTGGAGTGCTGCAGCACGCAGAAGTCCTCGCACGGCCGCCCCTTCACGTCTGCAAGAAGGGCACAAAGAGGAGTCAGGGCCCCGCCGCCACCCCGGCGCGGCCCGGCCCGGCCCCCGGCGGTACCTGGCTTGTACCAGCGTGTGAAGTAGCGCTCGGCGCCGCCCGGCCCCGCCGCCCCCTCAGCCATGCCCGGCCCGGCCCGGCCCGCCGGCGCGCCGCGATGACGGCGGGAGGGCGGCCCCGGCCCCAGCCCGGCCCTCTCCCCGCCCCGGCACGGGAAACCCGAAGGAAGCACAGTATTTACTACCCGTTGTTTTTTTTTTCTCCAGGCTCTAACGTTTTTCGCCGTATCTGCATCATTGAGAAAAACGCTCAGACGCCTGCGCTTTGGTTCAGTGGTTTATTTTCTCTAGCACACAGCAGTACAGCAACAGCTACAGTGACCATATATACACACACCAGAAACGTACTTTAAATTAAAACAAACAAACAAACAAAAACAACCCACATTCCATTAAAACATCTTTTTGTTTTCTGCTCGTGGAAAACAGAACGACCCAGTTTTCTCACAGATTTTAACTGCACTGGTGTCTCCGTTCAGGCAGCAGGAGGGCCTCTGTGAATTCTATTTCAGCCTTTGAACTCACAGCCTGGGCTCTGTTTTTTATACACATAAAGGAGTTGCATTCCCACAGCACACGTGGCATCACATTTAGGCACAAAGGATGCAGAGAAACCGTACCAGCACCTGATCCCCACAGGCCAGGCAGGGGAGAACTTGGAGAACCTCCACACCTTTGCTCTGACTCCTGCTGCCCAAAGTAACATGACACCTCTTCTGTACAAACACAGGCCAAAACCATTAGAATGTTACAGAAAAAACCCAAACCAAAATAGATTCCAGCACTGTTTGCCTATTCTGTTTACCTGCATCTAGCACAGGCACTAAAGGCAGCACAAAAATTAGTAACAGCAAAAAAATTAAGGTCTGTACCATTATTACGCTACAGACAGATACACAAAGCAGACACTTGCATTTATTATCCAGAGTAGCCAGGCACATTAAAAACTGCTGCAGAAAAATATACACATAAAAATAAAGGGCTACTTAGAGGCTCTGCCCCACCAGTTTGCCAAACCTTGAGTATTTCCAACATGAGTACACTGCAACAGATGCAGATTCTACTTTGTAAGGCCAACAAAGATAAACAACAACAACAACAACTCAAAACAAACAAAAAGAACAACCAACATTTTGTCATCCTGCTGATACAAAACTACAGCAAGTTTTAGTCTGTAGCCTTCTCAGTTATCAATCTGGACAGCTGCCTGTCATGGATGTTTCTCCATCAATGACTGAAGAGCACTGAATGGGTGGAATATGTTTGTGTACAGGATAGAGACATTTCTGCCCACATGCTCTAAAGGCAATTAATTTTTTTTATTCCTAAATTAGCAATGGGTTTTGATACGTGGATATTTTAATGTCAGTCAAGTACATCATAAGCCAGCCAAGAACCCACTGGAAACACGGAAATTTATATTTGTAGATTTAGTCATTAATCTTAAAATCCCTTGAACAACAGTAGGCTACCTGCCCCCTTCCCGTGTCATATCCAGACAAAAGAAATCCAGCTGAACTGGCAGCTACTATGGCTGTACGCCAACAGAAACCAGCAGTGAAAAATTCAAAGCAAACTGAGCTCATCCAAGTCTGAAATGCCTCAGGCCTAGAGAGATGCCTGATTTCTGTAGCAGCCAGGATTGTGGTGCAGAAAGTGGAAGCCCCACAGGCTGAAGTGCACTGTATTTATGGAGTTTTCCCACACCACAGGTAAAAAACCATGCCCAAGCCCTAAAAAGCCCGCTAGGACACAGGGATGCATTAGGAGAGCTGGAGGAAGCACACCTTTCTCAACCCCTGGCTTCCAAGGAGGCACAGAACAGGATTTCATCACTGTGAGCAAAACGTAAATATCAACTATTGCTAACCTGAGGAAAGGCTGAAGGAAGAGACGCTAACAGTCCACTGGCTGCAAAAACTCATGTGGCACCCATTTCTCAACTCCTAAAAGATCCTCAAACCTCTCAATTAATTGAAAACATCTATTTCTGAGGTGATAGAATGGTTGCTGGCTTTCATTGTATGACAGACCAACAAATTGTTTTAACCTGTCATACACGGTATTACCAAACATTTATCTTGTTGTTCAAGCTTTTTATTCAGCTGATGATTTGAAGCAGTGGATCAGAAATAGGTTCTAATTGTTTTATTTCTGGGATTTTTACAGCTAGCTAGTTAGATAGCATAATTCTGTTATTTATTCATCATTAAAGAACTTTGACATGTTCACCTTCCCTGCTAATGCAGAATTTATTTTGCTGTTGTTTTTTTCAACCTTCTTCCTTCACAAGGAAGGTGAAACATATTAAGGGGTGGTTAAACATATTAAGACTGTAGGCTTAAACTACATACTTAAGCATACACTTATCTTTAACACCTTGCTTCTCTAGATATGTTACCAAAGAAATTTTCTTATTTTGGGTTTCTCAGCTTTAGTTCTTGTAAAAAATATAGCACAGGTTTGTGTGCAATCACACTGAACTAGAAGTAGGCAGCTCTCCCACTCAGCTCATTTTCCCAAAGTAAATCAACACTTTACTTCAGGAAGCTTTTGTAGGAAATGACTGTTTATCTCAGCCTGTAGCACTCCTCCTCCTTGATATCAAACAGGCTTTAATACACCTTTGTCACTTCAGGCAGTGTAAGTGGGATACAGCACTGCTTTTAAAGTCTTTTTGATGGAATTCTTAAAGCTTTTTGGCAATTTAAGAGCTGGACTTTTGTTGCTAATTTGAGAAACCAGTGAAGAGCATCTCATATCAGAATGGATGAAACAAGTTAAACATTTGATGTAAACACTTAGAACATGGTTTTACATCAATTTGTTTGGAGTAGAAACCAACTGGAATAAGACACAGGAATCCACAAGCTACTGAGAGAACCAGCACCACCACAAAGGATGGAATAGACTTACCTGCCTTTCTGTATAAACCAGCTGGATGCAGAAGAGGTGAGTTTTTAACAATAAACACATGCTAACCACTACATGTCTTGTTCTTGTTTTACTTTGCTCACTGTGCTTTGTATCCACTGATTTGAATTGTGCTAAAATAAAAACCACTGTTGTTTTACCTCTTTAAACCAGCACAACCACTGAAGTAAAAAACATTACATATAATTGACAGTAAATAAATTCAGTAAAAAAACAACCTAACCCCTCAAACAATACAGACAATAAAAATAATACAGATTTGGCCATGTTTTACTAAGTACCACTTTCCAAGTACCATAAGCAATGCTAAATCCCAAGTAAAAAAAAACAAAAACACAAAAACAAACAAACAAACAAAACACCAACAAACCCCAAACTTTACAGTGTTCCTTTCTATCAGGCAAGAAGGGAGGGAAGTACAAAACAACAAAGCACACCAACAAAAATATCTAGTCTACATCAAATGTACCTTTCCAATAAGGAAATTCGTAGAAAAAAACCCCTACCACTTATAATTTAACACCAAGGTGTCTTCCTGGCAACCAGGATTACAAGTTTATGCTGAATACAATCTTATGTTCAAATACTGAGATAAGCAGCATTATCCCAAACCCCAGGAGAATCCCAGCATTCTGTAACAGGAAGTATCCCCACCGGCTACATCCATGGTCACTGGCATCGTTGTGGAGCATTTCAGGTACCTAAACAAACAAGGAGGTGTTAAATACCTTCAAAAGAAACACTTGCTTCAAATCATTAATTCTTAAGGTGTGTTATACAAAATTCAAGTAGGTGTAGGCACTTACCATATCCACAAGAGCCACATACATGAACAAGCCAGCAGTAAGTGCAAATATCCACATTGAAACGTTGTCTGCATAATGACCAATAAGGATCCCAGTCGCCATACCAAGATAGGCCAGCATAGCTGACAGAGCATTATAAAGCACAGCTTGCTTGACAGTCATACCAGCTTTTAGAAGGACAGCAAAATCTCCTATAAAAGGGAAAAAAAATAGCCAAGGCAGAGTTTTCATTCTTGGGTAAGTACTGCAGTGCTGTCTTATTTACAGTTCTCTTACTTACAGGATTACTAAGCTACTTTTATGCTGTTGTTTGCCTTATTTTTTTTTGCCTTCATAAAATCAGAAATCACTGAGAGACAAATTTAAAGGGTGCACATGAACAACAACACACTAGCAAATACTGTAAGTTTATAACTTTAAAGTCTTTGCCTGAGAGCATTGTCCAATCACTCCTTGAACGCTCAGCCTTGGTGCTGTGACCACTTCCCTGGGGAGCCTGTTCCAGTGCCCAACCACCCTCAGGGTGAAAAACCTTTTCCCAATATCCAACCTAAACCTTCCTGACACAACTTCAGGCCATTCCCTTGGGTCCTGTCACACAACAGAAGAGATGGGTGCCTGCCCCTTGTCTTCCCCTCATGAGAAAGTTGTGGAGTGCAATGAGGTCTCCCCTCAGTCTCCTCCAGGCTGAACAGACCAAGTGACCTCAGCTGCTCTTCAAATGGGTTCCCCTCAAGGCCCTTCCCCATCTCTGTACCCCTCCTTTGGATGGTCTCTAATAGCTTCATATCCTCAAGCAGTTGGAATTTAAACCAACACTGTAAAATGCTGCAGTACCTGATATGCCTGAGTGTTCCTACAGTAAAATATTCCCACTCAGTTGCATATTCCATTTTTTATCCTGTAACTGCTCCTTGTACTTTTAATCTGTTTTATAAATTTAAAGTGATTTCTTTATTAATTTCTGTAAATGATCCTTATTTTTACTTGACGGAATGATAGACCACCAGCCAGAAACAGATTTTCTGTAATTCAGAAAATATTTTTTCTAAACCAGAGTAATATAAGCTTATTATCTGAAAATAAAATGGGTTCTTTTATAAGTTATCTCCAGTTAAAGTAAACAAAAGCGATTTTCAAAGCTGATTTGAGTAATTTATTACAACAGCTTTTCCTACAAGCTATTTCAATTAAGATGAACTGGTATATTAAAAAACATTGTTTAGTATTAACAACAATGGTACAATTTTATTCCCAGCTAACCTCAACTAGTCCCATTTTTTTTAATGTTCCTATAGCACTTCATGTCCTCTAGTAAAGAAGGTATTTTCTATCAAGTTTTCTGTTCTGATTAAAGAAGTATGATTTAAATTTTAAAAGATTT